CCCAGAACTCTGGAATTACTGTGAAAAACTATGATGTTATTAAGACTGTAAACCAACCCCGATTTTTAGTCGTCCTTTAAACATAGTCGTTAAGGACCTGAAGTGATAAGGAATTTTTTTTCTTCTTCTGAGAATCACCGTTAAAGGTACTGAATTGCATTGCGTTTAATTTATCAAGTTTTTCCCTGTGACCCTCTGCGGACTGATACCCCAATTGGGGGGGGGGGNAAAAAAAAAAAAAAACAGGAGATAATGTGTTATGTAAGAACTGGCACTGACTGATACATGATATCGGACGTTTGTTGTTGGGCGCCTCCCCCTTAAAAAATAAATCTGTCTGATTGCAGGTTGCGTCGGTTTTTCGTTTGTGTTTGGAGACGAGGCAGTAACAAGCCAACTCTGCCAACTGAGAAAGTTGCGTGAGTTCACGCAGGTGTTTGGTGTTTTGAGACACTTGAGGACCTTGTGGAGGGTATGTGGTCATGGTTGTATTGTAAATTGGGTTTGCATAAGGGCCAGCTGGTCTTTTAATCAAGGGAAGCCTTTGTCGATGAACTGAGTTCAAGCATTCAGTGTATATTTTGATTTGGAATGGTTCGCTGGCTGGTCTTTAATGCCCTTTAGGGTTTAATTTTTCCAGGTTAGTATATAAACGGAACAGATAAGGGGGTTAAACGTTTATTATTTCCTCTCGTACTGAAAACGGGAAGACTAGTCCAGCATAGGATTGAACTTTGAACTGTCCTCGAAATTCTTGGGTATCCTGTGCGATCCGCTGAGCACTGGGAACTAGTAAATATTCGCGCTTTTTCGCGACCTCATTCATAATTTTCGGAGTCTTTCTGCGCAGAGATCGCGCCGAGGTTGTACAGTTTATTGGAATTTGGAATATTCAGGCGAGTTGTTCCCAAACAGGTAAAAAAGCTTTCGAAATGAGGCTACGGCGATAAGGTTCTTAATTTTATAATATTGCGACAGCTACTCGAAAGCAATCGCGGCTGAAATTGCGTTTTGCGAGAAGGGAAGCTGCGAGATCGAATCAGCTTGACATGACAACGACGAATCAACTGAGCTGTTTTGTAAAATGCGTATTTCTGTGGACTACAGTTCCCTTATAAGAACTTCAGACGGGTTGTGCATCATTAGTGTATAGAAATGGTGGAGTCTGTGCATTGTTAGTGTCACTAATAAGGGGGGGG